TATATTATTACTGTAGACTATAGATTTTGATTTAGATTAGACAAGTGTTGTTATTTTAAAACTATATCAACAAATAATGTATAAACAGTCAGCCGACGATCAACAAAAGAGACGTACGCACCACCGGCAAGGCGGCAATCGGCTGGCATACACAGTGTTCCAAGACGGTCCATTCAAAGAAAGTGAGCTCTGATGGCGCCGGCGACTGCGACGGCGACGGCGACTACCGGCTTCGCTATATCGTCCTATTCGCTTCCACGCCGTCATACTCCGCCGCTCACTGGTCTTCCCAACTCCAAGGTTCGCTATCTCTCTACTTTTAAGGGTACAATTGTGTTGGATTTCTGGATTTCTGATCTATATTGAGTCTGGGCAGAGATTGTTTCTGGTTAACTTTAAATGCCAGCTGGAGAGCAGTCAGAGGAGTACCTGTCCACCTGAATCTGAAACGGCGTCGTATCTGCCTTCGTCTCAAGGGTCGTCTTCTACCTCCGCTGTTGATGAAGGTGAGCTAAGCATTTCAGCATACAAATGGTGTGCTGCTCTTGGAGGCATCGGATTTATGGAGACAGCAGACATGGCGTACCTGAAGCTCTCCGGTTCAGACATCTTGTGCACCATGGGAGGTGGCGATTGCTCCTCCATTCTCAATAGTGAATTCTCCTCCCTTTTCGGTACTTATTCTTTCCCCCAGTATTAAGTTGAAATAGTTCAATTTATTGTAATTTCATGGGTTTACCGATCTTGGTCTTCGTTTTTCCTATTTGTGTTAAGTACTATTTACGATTCTCACCCGACAATCATCTCATTAGAACAATGTATGAATCCTAATTTTCTGTTGCAAACACAAATGCTACTTCTTTTTGCAAGGTGTTCCTCTTCCATTATTCGGTATGGCTGCATATGGAATAGTCTCAATGCTTTCCCTACAATTACAACTCAGTCACAAGAAAAGGGCATTTGACTTTGAGGTCATTGACAGTGAACTGATCTTAATTGGAACAACTACCTCAATGGCATTTGCCAGTGCCTACTTTCTGTATATTATGAGCACGGAATTTGTTGGGAAGCCATGTTTATATTGTTTGGCATCAGCAACGCTATCCATCAGTCTGTTCTTTATCACCCTAAAGGTTTCTTCCTGTCTGTTCTCTGTCTTGCAATATGTGCTAGTGATTCGGTTTACATCAATGATAAGATATATTTTTGGATTTGTCTTGCAGAGTCTGGGGTTAGGCAAAATTCAAAAAGTATTGGGTTCACAGTTATGCATAGCTAGTTTGGCTGTTATTGCCTTGACTGGATCATTTGATTCCATGCAACTTGTCCCATCAAGGTACCATATCCGATCATGCATCATGATTTATATTGTTAGGTAGACTGATGTAGTCATTAAGGGTTAGTATTACATGATGCAACCCGAATGAAATTTGTCTTCGAATGACATTTGGACTCCACGATATTAGTTAAATCAATCTGGAATTAAGTATAAAAAAGAAAACTGGATTTAAGTATATCTCATTTCGATCCACTTACAAGTTGATTCCTTATGTTATATTGAGTATTCCACTGATTGGAAATGTAGGGACTACGTTTTCCCTTGTTGCTGTATGAGATGTCCTTAGAATATGACTCACCTATGCCTTCTGCATTGATACATTTTTATAATCTAAGCAATTTATGTTTTAACATTCAACAGCCTAGCAGCTACAGAGATGCCATTTGTTGAAACAAAAATTACTCAAGAGTCCAATGCTTTGGCCCTTTCTCTTGCAAAGCATCTACGCTCAATTGGAGCAAAACTGTACGGGGCTTTCTGGTGTTCTCATTGTGTGCATCAAAAACAGGTTTCTCGTTAATTATAATTTTTTCCTTGTATTTCTAATTTTTTCCTCGTTAATTTTTTTCTTTGTATTTCTAAAGTTTCTATTTTCGTCTTTCTTCTCACAAGAGCCTCATACACGATATGAAAATCTATGGCAATATTGAATACATACATTATCTGGTTAGTGACTCTATAGAGATTAAACAATTATTGGAGTAAACGAAGTACAATTTTCATATGTATATGAGGTGATGGATGATATTTGCCGACATCAAAAGACAATCCTAAGTCATTTACTAACTTTCTTGAAATTTAATGCGTATGACTTTCCAGATTTGCTAGTAAACTAGACTATTCAGTTTTACTAACTTGCGTGAAATTTTGTTGTTAGTATTTTGGATTTGTTGTTCACAGCCAGGTTGTCACGTTGGTGTATGTTTTATTATAGGCCTAATTGTCGATAAAATCATGATTTTACAACATTTTGTCGTTTTAACCAAACTTTTGGAATTTAGCAAACATAACATAACCTTGTCTATTTTTGGCAATTCGAATCACCGGGCCGAATTTCGGGCTTTATACATAAAAAAAATATGCAACACTAGGGTTCGAACTTGGTACCTCAAACTTGTATTATGGTATTGTAATCACCACACCAATCCAAGTTGTATGTTATTAAAATGCTTAATATTTATAGATAATACGTATGAATAAATCAAATTAAATTTAAAAGTTAATATAAATTTTTTATTATATTAATAAGATGTAAACTTATAATAATTAAAATATAATAAAATAAATTACATAATATTAAATCAAAATAATATAATATTAGATAATAAAGTATTGAAAATTTAACCGGAAAAAATATATAAATCAATTAAAATAATAAACTAAAACAAATAGAAATCTTAAATGAATATAATAAAATAAAGAAATATTATTTGAGTTCATTATAATTTATAATTTATTAAATTATTATATTAAAAATAATATAAATAATTTATTAAATTACTATATTCAAATAATATTTTTTATTTATTTATATTTAATAATTTATTAAAAAAAAATTTAAATAATATATTAACTTATTATATTAAAAAATGAATATAATAAAATAGTGAAATATTTGAATGTAATAATTTATTTAATAATTATATAAAAAAATAATACAAATAATTTATTAAATTACTATATTCATTTTCTTATTTAATTAGATTTAATATATTATTAAAAAAATAATTTAAATAATTTATTAACTTATTATATTAAAAATGAATATAATAAAATAACGAAATATTATTTGAATATAATAATTTTATTTAATAATTGTATAAAAACTAAATATAAATTATTTATTAAATTACTATATTTAAATGTTTTAATAATTATGAAATATTTTAATTTATTTTAATAAATACGAAATATATAAATTTAATTTAATTTAATTTAAATTTACTCTAATATAAAATAACTTATATTATTAATATAATTTACATTATATTTTAAATTTGATTTGATTTATTCATAGAGAGTGCCTATATATATTAAATGCTATTAAGTTTAACAAACAATTTGGGTTGGTCTAGTGGTTCCAATGTTATCGCCATTTTTTATCGCCACTGTAGACAAAGCTCGAAATTCAGCCCGGTGATTCGAATTGCCAAAAATAGACAAGGTTATGTTATGTTTGCTAAATTGCAAAGATTTGGTTAAAACGGCAAAATGTTGTAAGGTCATGATTTTACCGGCAATTAGGCCTTTATTATATTTATCTTCACGAATAAGAATTTTCACTTATTTTGTGAAGGATGAAAAACCTAAACATGATTTCACTTACTGCCAATTGTTTAATCATTGATGGAAGTACCTAATGTTTTTTTTTTTTTTTTTCACGTAAAACTATTAATTCTTTGATGCCTAAAGTAAAAGAAAGGAGAGGACTTGTGGACCTACTGAATTTTGAGTTTACTTGTTCTGTATTGGCATTGAAGCAGTTGTTTGGTCATGAAGCGTCAGAACTGTTGGACTATGTAGAGTGCTTTCCTGATGGAGTAGGAGAAGGAGCTGATATGGCTAAAGCATGTTATGATGTTAATCTTGAAGGTTTCCCAACGTGGGTGATAAATGGTCAGGTATAATACTCCTCTTGAACTTGAGAAAATAATTTTATTTCGGTAAGTTTTGTCGAAGGATTCACGTCCTTACTTCATGCATAATAGTTTGTACGATTATAAATTTGCCTCATAAACTCAGCAATAGAGATGAGTATTTTTCCATTCCTAATTCCATATTTGCTCGAGGATTTGGGACACTACCAAAGTGAGATACTTTGATATATTATTATTTCGTGATTCCTTGTTTTAATGGGGTTCCTGTTGCAGGTTTTGAGTGGAGAGAAGCAGCTCCCAGAGCTTGCTAGATTATCCGGGATCAAACTTGAAGATTTGAATCAATAAAGTAATACGCCCTACTTTTCCTTGTTTAATAGTGTGCTTAATTTACTGACGAGTGAGCTAAGAGCTAAGAATAAGAATGTTGAATGATCAAACACCACTAAATCCTTGGTCATCTGAAAAGTATAGAAAGAACAAATGTTCGGTTTGTTGATTGATCACTCGGAATAGAATTAAGATTGGAAAAACAGTTCAGTTTATTTGATTGATGTCCCTCGGAATAGAATTAAGTTTGGAAAAACAGTCCAGTTTTGTAATTGACGCCATGAACTAAGTTTTTGGAAAACAGTGTTCTCGGCCTGTTGAGAAAGTGACTTTAAATTAAGATTAGCTCATGATGTTGTCAAAATCTTTTGTGAATGCCCGCCCTTGTCCGTCAAAATGGAAATCGGATTAGCTTCATTTACAGTCCTCACAACATGACAAATATCTCAATGGTAAGTTCATGGGGTGATTGAACAAACGGAGACAGAAGCTGACAAATAAGGAAGGTCTCACCCAACAGGAGTAGTCGGGAATTGTCAGTTACACTAGTATCAATATCTAAGTAAAATACAGAACCAACGAACTGAACGAAATTTTCTGTGCAAGTTATCAGGAAACTAACACAACTGATCAAATTATGAAACAAGAATTGTACATTGCTGAGTTACAGTTAAACTAACTACTTTCAGCATTCAACAATTGTACGCTATCGAAGGAAGTCAATGGTAACATCTGGCAGCAGCTCCTACTCACCCTCAGGCACAGCTGAAAAGGAGAAAAGCATAGAGGAACGATAAAGATGATGGAGAAAACTGACACACCATGCACCAGTCCAGCTGACATCTTTCGGTCCATATTGTCAATTTGTCGTTGTACATTATTCGAAACGGTATTTCAAAGCTTTGTCCCTTTTCCTTAGGCCAGAAATCCTTCCCACATGATGCATAGCGAAGGGCGAGGGTGCATCCTCCAGCAATTTATCGAGCTCTGCAAACATAAAGAAATTCATACAAATACCATAATACATGAATTGAACTCAATTTCAGTCAAGTACAAAAGCAGATGACTATCACTTTTTCTCTCACCTCTCTCTCAGAAATAAATAAATAAATAAATGAATAACAGAGAACATAGCAAAATGCCTCTCCTCCTCTACTTCTCCGGCGTGCCACCTGGCGCCATCCAACCGACCTCTAGAGGGGCCGATGCCAGAATCTTTTCGAAGGTCGTCCGCAATTGGTGTACCCTATAATGTGGCTCTCAGTGTGTCCTTTGATGTCTTTTGAGAGTCAGATATGAGCTGCTTCTTCAGACCTGACTAAACCTGTAGCTCTTTGTAGGACAACTGTTGGCGGCTTAGGGCTCGGTCTTACTGGTGGGTTCGATTTAGTTAGAGGAGGGGAGGTTTTATTGTCTTTTATTTTAGTATATTACTTTTGTGGTTTTTTATTTTTCATTATTGGAGTTTATATTTTCCACTTGCGAGAGTGTTTTAATATTTTATTTTAATTTGTGTTTGTGTTTGTGTTTGTGTTTTCAGCATAAGGCTAAGTAGACCTCCCTCTAGATTAAACTCAGTAGTTGATTGATTCAGTTGTATCTGGTTGTTCTAGTATGTAAATACATGTTTATTATCAGTTTATCGTTTTGAAAAAATATTACGAAATCAAAGTTGAGGCATGTAATAGTTATGCACTCCTTAACACGCAATTGCCTGTTAGAATACACACGTTAATGACAAACGCCTCCAAGATACGACGACATTTGACTTGTATATAGCGATATTTCAAATATAAAAACCTACGGCGAACAATACTATTGTATGTAACTTTCAAGACTTAACGAAAAAAAAAAAAAATCAAACATCACAAAATGCTATGTCTTTCAAAACTAATGCAAGAGCTCTTAATTTTCAACTTATTAATGATTTCATGTTGGTGGGTATTTATAAATGTAGGAAAACACCTAAAACACCTTTTGGGGCGTGCCTGAACGAGAACAGACACATCTAGGGTGAAAAGACACATTTTAGAAAATTTTCAAAAAATAAAGATTTTTGTTTTAAGTTTTAAAAATTCTTTAAAAGCTAAATTATTATTTATATCCAAAATGAAACCAATTGTATTAATATAAATGTTTTAGTTCAAATTATTATTTATATCCAAAATGAAACCAATTGTATTAATATAAATGTTTTAGTTCAATGGAAGTGATAGAAAAATTTATTGGAATGATAAATAATTTTAATGCTTTTCAATTAATTTTTATTATAAAGGTATAAATACATGCAAATAATATATTTATTTATATATACAATATAAACGTTAAAATCTAAACTCGTCAAGAAATAGTTAATTTGATATATCATATATAAAAATAAATATGATAACAAATAGAATCAGAACACATAGAATCAGCACATGAATTCGACACATAGAACTACACAGCTTAAGAATTCGATACATAGAGTTACACAGCAACAATAATTCAACACATAATGCATATAATCAAGAAACTCTCTACATTCATTATAAGGAGGGATATTTCTAGTGCACTCACATCCGAACAACCTTATGCCCATCATCTATCGACCTCCTAACTGCATCCAGCACGAGCTGAGTGACTCTGCTCGTCCGAGCCCACTTATCCACCGGCCGGCGCCCAAGATCCCGAACCCCCATCACCAGGCTCGAAAACTCCCGAACCATCTCGGCCTCCTGTGGCAGCAGAGAATCCACCCGGACCTCACGAGGCTTCTTCACATTCCACCCGACGTGCATTTCAACAAACTCCGCCCCGGATGTGAAGCTGAATGCCGCGCAATCCTCTTCGTACGGTATTATCAAGTCCTCCACAAATAATGTCCCATTGGACCCACAAATGGTGATGCCCATGGTCTCGTGCGCGATGAAGGAGCAGAAGAACGTGGCCACTGTTTCATCTTCTTCCCAGTGTAGGGCTGCGCTGCACGAGAGGATTACCCCGGCTGAGTTCCACATGGTGGTCGGCAAGGCAGTGACAGTGGTTGGGTGTTTCTGGTCCATGGCCCACAGGATGGACCCGATGCAGTACCATCCAGCATCCCCAAGGGCACCTAGGCTGTCTAAGTCCGGTTTTACTCGGATGTTGTTTGCGTGGAATTCAGGGGTTCCATGGTACGATGAGGAACTGTGGATCTGAAACAACATAAGTGGTTTACCGATTAGAAAGAAAAATGTTTCCCATTGTTCCCATCCAATACTAAAGATCGATCTCATTATGAATTTCAAATCGTTTTTTCGTTTGATGCATTGCCTATGAAACCAAATTTTCCAGCACAGAGAGAGAAAAATGAAACATAAAACACAGAACGAATTATTTTCCAGTCACGAGCATCCGTGAACATCTTGGCTCCGAAGACTAAATATCCTAAAGTTCTTCAGAAACGAGTTTATTTTTTCCCGAAAAACAGTTCACATCAAAGGTAATCCACTTTACCGTCTCCTTCGACTAATGCCCGTAAATTATACCATAAGCAATTGTGAGGAAAGTTTCATTTTCAAGATATAGATAGACATGCTCATAATTTCTGCATTTAGTTTCTAGCATCACACGAACTCAAAAACAGAACGATAAACAAATGTATGGCCACAAGTGCACTTACAGCTCTAACACGCCCGAAAAGATCAGAATCCGACAAAAGCTCCTTCATTTTCGCGGTCCTCGGATGATGATACCACATGCTGGCATCCATAAACTGCACCCCATTCGACTTGCAGGCCTCGAGCATTTCATCGAGCACCTTGACGTCGAGGGCCGTCGGCTTCTCCAGCAGCACGTGCTTGCCCTTCCGAGCCGCCGTCGCCGTCCATCTCGCGTGCAGGCTGGTCGGCAGCGGCATGTACACAGCGTCCACGCAAGGGTCGTCCAGCAATTCCTCGTAGCTACCGTAAAGCTTCACGTTTTCCGACAACCCGTTTTGAGCAGCGAATTGCTCGGCCTTTTGGGTCGTGCAGCTGGCGAAGGCGGCGAGGTCGGCGTTGGGGGACATGTTTATGGCTCGAGCCATTTTTCTGGCTATTTCGGCACAGCCCATGATTCCGAAACGGATCGGGTCATTCCGTTATCCGCCATTGTTGGATAGTGGGTAGAAACTGGAAGAGGAACATTAATGTAGCGTTGCGGGTGGGGGATTGCTGGGTTTTTTGGGTGATGCTTACATTGTCCACGTCTCCTCTGTCCGGATTTGAAGTATGATTGTATTAAAATTTAAATTAACGTACCAAAATCTAAATTTCAATTCGGTTATTTCAAATAACTATAGCAAAAAACTACACTTTCTCCCTCTCGTCGTTTAACCAGAGCCCCAAATCCTCTGCGCATAACCTAATTCCTTTTGTTTCGCCTTCCCCGGCGGGGCCGCCAGACCCTTGGCAGCGACTGCCCCTAGCTGTGCGACTCGACAACGGAAGACTACAAAAAAATCTCCCAAATGCAATTTCAAGGAAGACTACACAAGTCAGTCACGTCTACAGATACATCTCTATCATCTACACAAAGTTACTACCCTACAGTACATGAAAACAAAAAAAAAAAAGAAGAGCCCAACTTGTATTACATAATCCCATCCACTATAAAAGTTGAAACAAGAGAAAACAACAGCCACCAGCAACCATTATTGGATCAAAAAATCAAACACATATGCAAAGACAAACAAAGATAGTGAAGGGCGAGAATCTGCACTAAGAAAATGAGGTCCCAATATCCCCACAACATCCCCAACATTAGTAAACCCATGAACATGACAGTTTTCTCAAATAATTACTGGGTACAACTACACATCAAAGCAAACCACTTTTAAGTCCACATTCACATGCAAAACAGACTGAACTCGCGAAAACAATCGTAGACAAACACCCGTGATGCTACAAAAATGAAATCGAAGAGCCACAGCATAAAAAGGAAACCAGAGAGCAGCATAGAGAGAAAGCCAACAGTAAGGACCCATGTAATATAGATAGATAGATAAGATTTCAATAAATGCCGCATTCCAATTAGTCCAACCAATCCAAGACCCTGACACAAAACATAGAAAAGCTCTAAATCACGGGATCTGCTCTCTTTCTATTTGAATCGTGACATGACTAATATTATACTCCCTCTTAATGTAATCAATAACCTTGTCCAGCACCATATCAGCATCTGCCTCGGGCTTAACCTTGACATGGCAAGCCAGCAACACTTTCCCGACAGTTATCGCCCAAATATGCAGCTCGTGAATGGCAACAACCTCCTCCATCTCACACAAACCCCTCTCGAGCATCGTGGCATCTATCTCCCTTGGTGTGCTCTCCATGAGAACTTCCAGAATGTTCCTCAGCATCCTAATCGTGGTGGCTAAGACGATGGCAGAGAAAACCAAGGTACAAATGAGGTCGATTATCTTCCACTCGGGCTTGTACCAGATTACGGCCCCACCAATCATGACCCCCACGCTCTGTATCGAGTCTCCCAAAACATGGAGATAGGCCCCCTGCACGTTTATATTCCGGAGCTTTTTCGTCTTTTTCGCTTCCTGACCGTCTTTGTCCGGCTTGCTTTCGCCCTCGTGTGATGTACTGAGAAGAGGCTCGGCCGGGTTTCCACCGGGAGGATGATGATGCTCGTTAAATCTCGAATGCTGATGATGATGGCTGTCATATCGGGTAACGGTCACTCCATGGACATGCGAGTGCTCGTCCTCAGAACCATGATCATGATGATGATGATGATCATCGTTCCCATGATGACCATGGCCATGATCATGCGAATGGCCATGGCCATGGCCGTGATCATGACCGAGCAGGAGGGCCATGACGATATTCACCAGCAAACCAAAAGACGAGACCAGAAACATCAGAAACCCCTGAACCTCACCCGTGTTCTGCACGAGCCGGACAATTGCTTCGTACACAAGAATCCCCGTGAGAAGCCATATCAGCTGAATCGATACAAGTGCCCCGAGTATTTCTATCCGGAAGAAACCATACGACTGGCGTGGGGTTGCCTCCCACCCCGCAGCCCACAGAGAAAACAGAGAAATAGCAAACGAGGCAACATCAGACAGCAGATGAGCTGCGTCTGTGAGTATGGCCAAGCTATTGGCTTTGATGCCACCTGCAACTTCTACGCTCATAAATATCACGCAGAGGGCAACTGCAACAAGGAGCTTCTTCATGGAGGCTGAACGCTCTTTCGCGTCCCTCGAGCTTGTTCTGGCATCTGAAAAGCCGCATGTTGCACCCTCACATACCTTGCTCCCTCCATATGAACGCTCCGCCGAAGGTATATCAGTGCATATCTCAATGATGTGTCCATGCTCTGAATGCTGTGCCTCCATCTAGAATATGCAGTTGCGTCTATTGCCGAATTAGCTTAGTAGATCAGTCTAAAAGGAAAAAAACACAACTGAAATAAATGAATGAGAAGGAAGCATGTGAAACAAAATTGCATACACCACAGTTTATCAGGTGGAAGCTAGTGAATTTAAGAAAGATCGAAATAAATATGAAGGTACTTAAAACGTTGTTTACTTAGCTTGATGGAATAGGACAATTTTATCCCATTATCTTTACACATCAGCTTTTGTATCATGTTTACAAACCATGATACATTTTATCCAGAATCTAATCAAGCATTTACTAAAAGTGATAAAAAAAAAAAATTGATTTCCATGAGAAGACAAATATACCCTCAGCTTTAAACAATGTTCTGTTCGAAGCCATCCTCATTCTATTCTTGAGGAAACTTTTCCCCTCTGCGTGCCTGAGGTTCAAGTATAGCAATCAAATCTGCCCCAAATTGGATTAACACAAGTACACAACAAAAATGATTTTCCCTATATTAATAGCAAATTAAAAGACCCACCATTTGGCATTAACTAGTCACCAATTTCCCTCCCTTAACTTCATCTCACCAACTTCATCCCAAACTACCAATCCCCACACACACGCAATATGAACCCAGAATCGAAGAAACTCCAGCCATCCAAGCCCCTAACGGCAATGGTTTCATATTTTCAAAGGTTGGTGGGGGCACACAGGCAAGCAATAAACCGAAAAAAAAAATTAAAAAAATAAAGAAAAGTGGAAGTTTACCAGAAACAATCTGAACAATAGGGTAGTGAACCGGTGTTAATATTCGAATGACAGAAAAAGAAACAAAAGGAAAATCGAAGCTCACCAGTCGCGGGGAGGAGGAGAAGACGAGAAACCTCTAGGGCTGGGACGATGAACTCGGCTTATGGGAGAAATTGTCTTATATATTTTCTAAAATCTGTAATTTTTAGGACATATGTAAGGATATATAATGGTCAAATAATAGGCAAGAATTTGGAGAAATCAAAGTTAAAAGTTTTTGCAACAGAAATCATCTGAAGAAATCATTGTGATCTTACCTAAAAAATTTGATCTTCAATTATGAATGATAAACAGTACAAGCCCGTACAAGAAAACACCCGGGACCAAGCATTAAAAGATGACTAAAATTTTCCAACACAGCATTTAATCGCAACAATATAAACGAAAAATTGGTGCAAATAAAAGCATTTTACTGCAAAAGGTGAAGGATGATAATGATAAAGAACAGAGAAAACACCACCACACCACAAGAACACAAGCAATATAGCAGTGTCTTACAAATCAAAAGAAAAAATTAGATCTTACTAGCAATCAGAGTTGAAAACAAACTCAGAACATATAATACAGAGACGTAAAAAAA